ACAGCCTACAGTATTTTTAGTCTTTATTTTACAGTTAAAATAAATGTTTATCAAATAAAGTCTAATGTTACAACTAATCAGGGATCCCTTTAAAATGAAAGGAATCAAGACTAAAGGTTATTTGTAACTATAAAGTTAGAATGTATTAGTGTTTATGCCGTATGCACAATAAATGGGTCAATTCAATCAACCATGATCAACTTTTAATTTGGTATATTAGCTTAAGAGCTAATATATATTAGCTTAATATATAACTACATATATTTATTATCCCATCCCTTTAACTCAAAAATTTAAATGCTTAAGCTGAGGCACGCTCACCACAGACCAGCCCTTCCATCCTCTATCCACAGGGCAGCACGTGACTGCTGTCATGTGTGTACAGTGAATAATTGTGCTAAGAGTTGTGTTTGCTTCGTGGTCCAGTGGAATTAACTTTAGCATTACTCAGACTCCATCACCCCATGACCTACTTAGGACAACATGAAGATAATGGATGGATGGTCGAATGAGTAAACGGATAGACGGACGTACGTGTAAAAAAAAACATATATTTGAGACTTGGCTTAGGTGGAGCTCATGCAGCTGCAGCTCTTGCATAAGCACCACAAACACATTGTTTTCTGAACTACTCTTGATCTTGTTCAGTTTCAGTTTAATGCTGAGTCATTTCTACATTCTCCTCTCTGTCAGTTGGCTCCAGTATAAATGAAAAGGGCTGATCGTTAGACAAAATACAAAATAAGATTGCACTGGAGCAACCTTTCTTTGTCATTTGCCCAGAATGCATTGCACTGTAACCAACATGACTACTGTGAAATATTAATTTGTACAAATTTCTAAAAATTTCTAAACTTTGACAGACAGATGGACGGACGGACGGACGGACGGATGGATACTTTATTGTCCATGGAGCTAAAATAGAACATTCGATGGAAGACAGGTTGTTCACATTCTGCTGTGAGGAATTCAGATAAAACCTGACACAGACTGAGTGAAAAAAGACAACAAAAAAAGCCTACAATTAGATATACAATTTGCATAAATACCAAAAAGAGTTTTGAGTACAAATAAAATGTTTGAAAACAATCTAAAAATTTTAGACAATAAAAAACCTGTGTGGTGTCAACTGTAACAATGATCAAACCTAAACTGTCACTGTGTAAAAAATGTCAGCTCAGACATGTACAGTCTGACCTTTGAAGTCTGTCTGGAATATATATAATAACTTGTGATGTGTGATACTATTGTGAATATGTGATGTTATCTGTCATCACTACCATCAAAACCAGGTGTAGGCACTGAGACCAGTGAGAGTCCACTGACCTGATCACATCTATTATTAGCAGCAGAAATATACTGGCCTATTTTTAAGCAGTCCTTTGTGATATTAATATTGTGCTCACAGGACATTACAATGACAAATCCCTTTATCCATATTGTGTAGTCCTATTGAGCTATAAAGCTCAAAAAAGGAATTAGAATTCTCATGGATTTCACTAAATTCTTCCTAATATTTTGTAAAGTTTTTGTGAATTTTGCAACATACTGTAAGAAAAACATGTTCAGAATTGGAAGTCAAAATAAGTTTGCAGAAAACCGATCTGATTCTCTTCTAAAAATCTTCATTAAAAACTCCACTCCACCTCAGTCAGCTCACAGCCTGTCAGCCAGCCAGGGGCTATATGTTTGAGGCCTTGGGTCTTATCAGAATCATAACAAAAACAACCCTCTCAGCAGCCCAGAGTCTGTTGTAGGCTGCACTAAAAAATATAAACCCTTCCCTTCAAAAGTCTTCCGTATATGTACAGTAGAACACCTGGTCACTCCCTGGGGCTGGGGGTGGTAGCTTTTACATCACGCATTGGAATCTTAAACTTTGTGATGCTATATAGTGAGACCAAGGAGGTTCTATAGAACAGCTGGAGCTCAGAAACCAGGTGACCGTGTGATCAGCTGGAGAAGCTAACAGCTAACGCTAAACGGGCAAGAGTCTGGATTTCCCATTACTGTACATGTTGACAACAGAGCAGAAAAAAAGAACTGACGATGTAGAAATCATTAAAATTATTAATAATAATATTAACACAATTATTAATATTTTACAGTTTATATAATCTATCTAATGTTTTAAATAATGTCAGAAAAGCTGTTTGTGTTATGGATTTATTAACAGA